AACGAAACAAAGAACCTTTTTCAAATTTATTCTAATTTATTGAATCTATGTATTATTGAACTTATGGATTTAAATTTTATTCAATTTTATTGAATTAATAGATATTGAATTTATGGATTAAGTAGATTTATTGACTCTATTGATCTATAGATGTCTATCAAAGTGACATCTTTGCAATACTGAGTTCTCTGATCCATGAACATATGAACACGTTTTATCTATTGGTTTATTATTATTGTTATATTTTTTATATGATGCTGGATTTAAATTGCTGACATTTTCTTTAGGAATTTTGCATCTTATTCATAAGTGAGACTGCTCTGAATTCTTCCTTTTTCTTGTTCGGCTTGTTGAGTTTTGGTATCAAGGTTTACTATCATGAAATGAGTTAGAAAATGTTCTTTTTCTGTTCTCTTGAAGAATTAGTATAATTACCTTTAAACCTTTGGAAGAAGTGGCCAGTGAAGCCATCTGTGCTGGAGTTTTTGGTTTGTTTGTTTAGTTTTGGTTTTCCATATGTCTGTGGGCAGGCAGGGGAGTTTCAAAACATACATTTCGTTTCTTTAATAGTTATATGACTATTCAAATTTCTATTTCTTGTCAGTTTTGGTAAGTTATAGTTTTCTAGGAATTTATCCATTTCATCTGACTTTTCTAGTTTATTGACATAAATGTGTTCATAATATCCTCTCATTATCTTTTTAATATCTGAAAGATCAGTAGTGATGTCCCCTTTTTTTCATTTCTGATTTTGGTTACTTGTACCTTCTGTATTTTTTTAACTACTTCTCAGTGAGATTTACCAATTTTATTAGTCTTCTAAAATCAAATTTTGGCTTTTTTAACCTGTTGTAGGCTTGTTTTTTCTATTTCGTGGAATTTGTGTTCACATCTTTGTTACTTTCTCCTTTCTCTGCATTTATTGTTGCTGTTTGTTTTCTAGGTTGTTGAGATGGATGTTTCATTTATTATTTTCAGCCTTTCTTCTTTTCTAATATATATACATTTAGAGCTGTAAATTTCTACTGTTTCAACTGTCTTTAAGTTTTAGTATGCATTATTTTTCTAATTCAGTTCAAAGCATTTTTAATTTTCATTGTGATTTCTTCTTTGCCTTGTGGATTATTTATAAGTGTCTTTCTTCATTTTCAGACATATAGTGTTTCTAGGTATATTTTTGTTAGTGATTTCAAGTTTAATTTTATTATGATCAGAGTACATGGTCTGTATGATATGAACTTTTTTTTTCACCTGAGGAAGATTCGCCCTGAGCTAACATCTGTTGCCAATCTTCCTCATTTTTTTGCTTGAGGAAGATTCAACCTAAGCTAACATCTGTGCCACCCTTACTCTATTTTGTATGTGGGTCACCGCCACAGCATGGCTGATGAGTGGTGTAGGTCCATGCCCAGGATCTGAACCAGCAAACCTGGGCTGCCGAAGTAGAGCGCACCGAACTCAACCACTACACCATGTGGCTGGCCCCAATGTCAGTATTTTTGAAATTGGTTGAAATTTACTTTAAGACTGTATATAACCAATTTTTTTTTTTCAAGATTGACCCGGAGCTAACATCTGTTGCCAATCTTTCTCTCTTTTTTTGTTTTTTTGAGATTGGCCCTAAGCTAACATCTGTTGCCAATCTTATTTTTCGTCCCCTCCCCCAAGCCCCAGTACCTAGTTGTATATTCTAGTTGTAGGTCCTTCTACTTCTGTGTGAGCCACCACCACAGCATGACTCCTGACAGATGAGTGGTGTGGTTCTGTGCCTGGGAGCCGAACCTGGGCTGCTGAAGTAGAGTGCACTAAACTTTAACCACTAGGCCATCAGGGCTGGCTCCCCAATTTTTGTAAATGTTCTCTGTGGGGTTTTTTAAGAGGTATATTGTCAAATTGTTGGGTATAATGTTTTATTCAATTCCTAATTCAAGTTTGTGTTACCATTATTGTTCAAATTCTCTATACCGTACTTTTGTCCATTTGTTCTATCAAATACTGAAAGAGGTATTGAAGCCCTCTATTATGATTGTGGATTTGTTTATTTCTCTTTATAGTTATGTCAATTTTTGCATTATGTATATTGTGTCTATGTTATTAGGTACTCCTAACTTTAGAATTATATATTCCAGGGCTGGCCCCATGGCTTAGCGGTTAAGTGCGTGTGCTCCGCTGCTGATGGCCCGGGTTCGGATCCCAGGCGCACACTGACACACCGCTTCTCTGGCCATGCTGAGGCCGCGTCCCACATACAGCAACTAGAAGGATGTGCAGCTATGACATACAGCTATCTAGTGGGGCTTTGGGGGAAAAAATAAATTAAAAAAAAAAAAAGAATTATATATTCCTGGTGAAGATACTATCAAGTGATTTTCTTTATTTCTAGTAATGTTGTGGCTTTAAGGTCTATTTTTTATGATATTAATATTGCTACAGCAGGTTTTTTTTTTTGGGAGGAGGATCAGCCCTGAGCTAACATCCATGCTAATCCTCCTCTTTTTGCTGAGGAAGACCGGCTCTGAGCTAACATCTATTGCCAATCCTCCTCC